TATAATCTAAGTTTTTCCTCATCCCAAACTTCCTCTGCTTATGTCACTCCTCCTCACTAAAGGGGGAAGAAGAACAGAGAGGGAAGAGTGAGGAAAGCACAGGAGCTGCATGGAGGGGCGAGCTCTGCTGCCATTGGCTGCCTGGCACTACCATGCTGTGCGTGATGCCAATTTTGCAGAGAATTGATATTAGCCAGCCTGTAACTTTGGGCATTACACCTCCAGCAGCTAAGGGGTTTATGTCTAGATGTGCAGTATGTCATAGAAAAATGACAGCATGTCAAATAATGAAAGTGGTTATGGTGCTTGTAGTAACCCTCCAACTACAAAGAATTAATAGCGGTTTTATGTACTCACTTTCACTATTACTAAAGTCTAAATAATTGCATCAGAGGAAAGATGAATTCATGTGTAGTGAAAAGGTTAAACTCCATTTTGGGTGTGTCACGCTCCCAATTACTTATTCATATGTATTATGTCTAGTTCCTCCCATGAGCTAGGACAGTCATGCATGTAACATGATGGCAACAATCAGTTGGCTGGCTGCCGAAAGTACGATGGATGATTGGTTCAAAATGTTAAAGTATCAGCTGAAATCATTTCTGCTGGAATTCCATAACATCAAGTCTGATGTTGCCCACATCCTCCAAAGCTGCCAAATACAAATCATGGAAGCCCCTTGGTGTGTCTAATGTGTGCCTGTGAATTGCCAATTCCACCATGAACAACAAACTAAAGTTAAATGAAAAAAAAAGACTAATTTCTCACTAGTGCTATTAGCACAAGCAATTCTTTATCTGCTCGCACATCTGCTAATTATAAGGCTGACCATGTAAACCATTTGTGTATGCCTGTTAAACATCTTCTGTGCATGCAGTTGTTTTTATTTACTTTGTTTATTTACCTTGTAACTACTAAGTGAAGTGTAGCCAACTTTTGTATTTTTGTATTTGTAATATTTATCATTCTATATGAAAATCACATTTTGTTAAACAAATAAAGACCTGTTCTCTTACACCATGTGATTGTTTCCCATAGAATACAGTTTGCATTGGCTACTTACCGGTCACAAGATGACCGTACAAACGTGTTGCATGTTGTTTAAAGAGGAGCACGTTACTTAGATAGTTACAAAGGGTAAGAAGACATCATTCCAGGCTTTCTAAGGTTGTCTATACCACAACAGCACTGCTTGGCAAAAGTAGCAGGGGCAGCACCCTCACTCGGATATTTTAATAATTTGCTCCCAACATATAACATATTTAAACCAACAAAATGGGGAAAATGCACCTTCTGTGTTACCACATTCCCATTCTGTAAACACTAGCTGCATCCTTCAAATATTTCCTTCAAAATTTCAAATGAAATCTCTCTATGCATCACTTATGGACTAGCACTGCTTCTATGTCCCCGGTGGTTAAAGTATAGCAATGCAAGAATATGTGTTCAGGTGTGGAGTGCTGTGAATTAAGAACAAATTCAAAGAGAATTCCAAATTAAGGCCAATATTGTCATCATGTCCAATTCAGCCATGGTTCAAGTTGGCTATTTTGACCCTTAATTTGAAATTCACGTTAGAATTCACCTTGGATTCCTGACAATTCTCACTTTAGTAAATATCCCCATCTGGAGACATTTTTGGCATGTTATATAATTATAATAATGATAAGTTTATATAAGGCATAAGATGAAAAGTAAATAGCTACAATCAGTTAATATGACCATATTTTTAATCTAAAAACGTTTTTGCTCATTTTGATTTCTGGCAAGAGCCAGCAAAAGACCAAGAACAACGGTTTAGCATATCTCTGACCTTATTTAACATAATCCAAAATTTGAATAACTTCTGTTATTTTATACATATTCATGTTTAATAATAAACTGGACGCTCTTTGAGAATTATAAAGGCCCAGCTGGATCTCTATCCAAATAGCATTTAATGTTAATTTGATGTTTAGAAATTAAATACGACGAGCATGACCTTAAGGTTTTGTGCGCTGGGGTTCTGAATGCCTTGCAGTTAATACAAATAGTTTTAATGCTCCTCATAATCTTTTTTCCCCATACTGATACATTCCATTAATTGTTCGGCGAGTCTCTCTGCACGGTGGGATAATATGGAAATTACATTGGAATCAGATGTCGTGCTATTTATTCTTTACGCTTTTAATTACTCCCTAAAGTTTCTCTTGCACAAAGCATTTTTATTTATGGCTCTTGATTGCAAACGAAAAAGCATTTATTATTTAAATGTTTACTAAACTTAATAGCAGTCATTCGTAGAGTTGTTGTTTTTTTTTTGTTTCGATGAAATACATGTCTGCATTAAATAAAAAAAAAAAAGTAACCAGTAGCAATAATGAGATAAAGTCTGTGTGATTCAGAACAAAATTAACAGCACACATTATTGGTCATTTATATTGTTAGAGCTCCTTCTGAAAATTCCTTAATTATTGAGGACTTTAAAAAAGTGTCAGTAGTCTAAATACCTTATTATTACACAGACACACTTTTAGAAAGGTTCGGTGTTTGTTGATCATATAGAGCAAAATGTATGTACGCAAACATGCATAACTCCTGTACTACTAGACAGGACAGGTCTAAAGGTTACTTGACACTGCAAAGCAGCATTCAAGGCAAACCAGCAAAGGCCCTGTATTTCTACTCACCAAGTTTAAATCTTTACTCGCCAATAGGTAGTGAGGGGTAGAATTGTTTTTACCCTGATATAGAAAACAAACTTTAACTTTAGAGGAAGCTTTTTGATAGTTTATGATGCAGAATATATCTATATTTACATGTCAGACGTATGGCAAGACTTGTGTAGGGTGAATATAAAATATGCGAATGTAAGTGAAACGTATACTCAGCCATGAGAATTGTTGATGCAATGTGCTAAATATATATATATATATACTTGGAAATAAGTCTTGTACTTTGGCTCCAATTCAATTAAATGCCCGGTGCTTAGTAACCTCTCTATGTACACCATATAATATAAAACTAGCACTCTAGCATATCCAAAATATATCATCCTTTATTCTATTTCTTCAGAAAATGCCAGTTTCATTCCCTGTTCAGACTTTCTTCAGGATGGCTAAACACAAATAATTAAAAAAAATGAGTTGTATATAGAGACAAAATACAGATTTATCCCCAGCTGTTCAAACACCACCGTGTTCCTCCACCATTTGAAGTGACACCACCTCCAAATACCTTGACATATTCCGGTACCCTAGTGATTGTAAACAAAGCCATCACCAGTAAATACAGTTAGTGGGCATGGATATTGAGATATATTTAAATTTGAGGCAAAAATATTGTTGCAGGCGGTACACGGTTCCTTAGTTTGAGATATATTCTCTTTTGGATATATATATATATATATTTATAATCACCAGTTAAAGTGAAAAGAGGAAATATTTACTGTTTGATATAATTCCTGATTTAAAAAGTCAGATTAAATATTGTTCTATGTTTGGATGCAAAATATCAATTCAGATACTACACTGACTCATGTTAAGCAAAGGAGACAGGAGAACGAACATGACCAAATGTAAAAATTAAAGTCACTCTAAAAGTTTCAGTAAATATTTCATGTCAGGTGAATATTTGATATGCTCCAATTGAAATGGCAGAACATATGGAAAAATAGCTTAGAGCTTCCCTGAAGCTCTTCTTTAAAATGTTTTATCTTTTTCATTAATGTTATATTTTAGAAGTCTTTCTAATTCATATGGTGTAAAACCTAAATCTTTGGATCCATTTCCTGTTATAAATTACAAAAAACTTTTCATGAAAAAAAAATGGTATTCTTATTTTTTTTATAAAAAAATGATGATTTTGAGGTTAAATAAAAATGTGCTTTGTTTTTTGTTTTTGTTTTGCTTTTTAATTTTTTTTATAATTCTTTATTTTTCTCACTCCACATTGGAGTAAAATATAATCAAGTATACAACATTGCCCATCAGGACGTATCAATATGACACTAATAAAAGATAATAGTTAAGTATGGAAAAGAGGAAGAGAGATGTCTAGCGTTGCGGCTTGTTGAGTGGTGAGGAGTGAGTGTTCTAAATTTTTTAAAGAGGTACCTTAAAGTAGTAGCGCTAGTGAGTACCCCATAGGGTCTGAAGCGGAACTATGTAAATCTTGTATCCAGCTATAAACAATCCGTCCCTCGGCTGGGTTGCCCCCTCTCAGTGTGTACCGAGAAACTGATGCCGCAAAAACAAAAAAAGAATAGGAGTGAGGAGGAATAAAGTGGCTGTGGGCACACTAGAAAGTGACCAAGTTAGCCCACTGTCTCACCAGTAATAAAGAACATGTGAAAAATGTAAGCACAGGTTAAGATTTGTGGAAAGATAAAAACATAAGTGATAGAGCAAACAAGAAAAACACAAAAGGAGAAATGTGCTGTTTGGTAGTAAGTCGCTAACTAATTGGAAACTCCTGAAAGCCCAAATCCACATCTATCCCTGCAACAAGAAGGTAATTTAATTTGAACACTGCAGCTTTAAAGGCCCAAACCCACATCCATCCCTGCAACAAGAAGGCCATTTAATTTGAACACTGCAGTTTTAAAGGCCCAAACTCACATCCATCCCTGCAACAAGAAGGCAATTTAATTTTAGTCTGTTCTATCCACCTACGCTCCCCTCTCCCAGCCCACCATCCACTCCTCCAGCCCACCATAGTTCCTTCTAACTATATAGCATGCACCTCCAGCTGTTTGGAACCACAGTCAATCACCTTCTAATTCCCTTCACATATTATCAGCTGCTACAGTTATACATTTAATTATCTCTGCCATCACATACAAATTTCTCTGCTACCTTTTGTCTTATTGCCCCATTTTAACCTTTAGATTGTAAGCTTACGGGTAAGGTCCTCTACCTGTAATATTGGTCTGCTCTTATTGTATTTTCCCAATTGTACAGCACTGCGGAATATGTTGGCACTTTATAAATGCCAGTAAGATGACCAGTCCCGTAGTCAGGTCACTGTTCCAGAGGACGAAGGTGATTGCACTGATTGGTGTGTGAACTCCGAAATCTTTGCTCTATAAGTGGGACAGGCCCATCCCCACAGCTTTGGATGACGAGATCAGGCACAGCATACACATATGGTCTTGAAGTTCTTGAAAGGTTTCTGCATGATGTGCGGTGTCCTGTGATGTAAACAGTAGGGTTCCTTATTGTTCCCAGTGGTACAGGATATTGCTGGCCTGTAGTGTCAGGAGTAAGGGTCTCAATGACTGGCTTCAGGTTAGGGTGTTCCTTGTGAGGTCTGGGAACAGGAGTAGTGTGTCGCACTCAAAGGATATCAGAACATGTCAGTTTAATAGCTTTAGTGTGCTTGGGTGGCAGGATGGCTGCGAAAAAACATTGGATATAGTGTGGCAAGTCAGCAATTCCCATTGACTTCAGTACACCTCTAACCTTTATGTTGTATCTCTTCCAGTGATCCTCCAGTGCGTCCATTAGGTGCTTGGCCCACTGCTATTTCTGGTGTAGTTCCGCTATCCCCTTCTCCACCGAAGTAAGCCTATTGTCATGTGTACTGTGTGAGGCCTCCAACTGGGTGAGTTTAGTGGTTGCGCTGTCAATGGCCTACTTTAAGTAGGCTATGTCCCCTGCAATGTTCATGTGGAGTTCGGCGAGCATTGCCTTCAGCTGTGATGCAGTGACCTGTTTCTGGTTACCTGTTGCGGGAGGTGCGGGTCTCGACTTTCTACTGTGTGTGACCACTTATCCTGGGTTGAAGGAGAAATCTTCAGACGAGTAGTATGAGGTCTCTTCAGGGAGCTCCATGTTGTCCCATGCGCCCTTCTCTGAGCTCCAAAACAGATCGCCGATATCTCGGTTCAGTGGGCTTTTGTCAGGTTTTTTTTTTTTTTTTTTTTCGACCCATGTTAGGTCCAGTGACCATGTGAGTAGTGTTGGCGATAAATAATGTAAATTTCTACTGAGAAACAGCAAATTTAGGCAACTTTCCACAGAGCTCAAAGAAAGTGCGAATGCTCTCTACAGTCACTTTCTTAATGGTTTTTGTTTAGTTTTTACGTGTATAAGGATACATTGAATTGCAAATGTTTTGTTATTTAAAAAAATGTTTTTGATACAGCATAAAACCTTTTTTATTTGTTGCTACAAATTTCTCGATCTTAATGTTGATGTCTTTACTAAGCTTATAGTTTAAGGTGGGTTATATCAATTGTGTAAAATAAAATAAAACAACAGGAATACATGTTGGGAAAAAAAATCATTGCAAGACAATGTGTGGCCCATTATATCTAAGCAAAACGTATATCAAAGGCAATATAAATATAAAGAGGTATCATAGGATTTGCATAACCAAACTGCAAGACAGGAGAGAGGATTGTTCTTGAACTCACAGTTAGAAATGCAAGTGTATAAGAACTAAGATGATGAAGAGAGGTAAGTGTAACAAAACTGACAGGTAGGAGAGAGGAGATCATAACACAGCTGATAGGTAGGAGAAAGGACCGTGGAACAAAACTTAGAGGTTGGAAAGAGGAGAATGTAAGAACTGGCAGCTAGGAGAGTGGGGAATGTCAGGAACCAACAGGTAGGGTAGAGGGGAGTGTGACATTGATATGTAGGATAGAGGGGAGTGTGACAATGACAGGTAGGAGAGAGGGGAGTGTGACATTGATATGTAGGATAGAGGGGAGTGTGACAATGACAGGTAGGAGAGAGGGGGTGTAACACTGACAGGTAGGGTAAAGGGGAGTGTGACATTGATATGTAGGATAGAGGGGAGTGTGACAATGACAGGTAGGAGAGAGGGGAGTGTGACATTGATATGTAGGATAGAGGGGAGTGTGACAATGACAGGTAGGAGAGAGGGGGTGTAACACTGACAGGTAGGGTAAAGGGGAGTGTGACATTGATATGTAGGATAGAGGGGAGTGTGACAATGACAGGTAGGAGAGAGGGGGTGTAACACTGACAGGTAGGGTAAAGGGGAGTGTGACATTGATATGTAGGATAGAGGGGAGTGTGACAATGACAGGTAGGAGAGAGGGGAGTGTGACATTGATATGTAGGATAGAGGGGAGTGTGACAATGACAGGTAGGAGAGAGGGGGTGTAACACTGACAGATAGGGTATAGGGGAGTGCCATGTAGGTATGCAAATTTGCATGTTAGCTAATACATTGATATGCAGCAGGTATTGAATGACAGTGTTGAAACCTGTAATTTTAATGATGCCTTTTTTATGCAGGTTGATTGGTTTCTCTTGCATTTAAGATTACGAGAACCTTTGTTTTCTTCACTTAAGTTTCCTTTACATCACTCCCATGTAACAATCTTTATACATCATGTGCGGAGATGAGAACCTTGCCTGCCAGGTAAATGATAAGGCTTAAGAAAAAAAAGGTTCCTTCACTCTCTCCTTAATCCCTATGTATATATAGACAAATTTAGGTCATTTAGTTGCTCTAATGGACAATGGAGGGAATGCCCACCTGCCAACATCAAGGCAGATCCCCCTAAAGCGGGTCCTAAAACTGACCCTTCAGCCTGCTTCCTTGAGCTTCTGGCAAAGATATCTCTAATGAGACAGAGGGGTATTTTTTTATATACACCCCTATATACTTATTAACCCTTAATAGGGAACACGTGGGATGGGCGGCAGCATTGTAACAAGGCTGTGTGATACAAAGTAAATACAAATACAAAAAGATAAGTCCTGTGCTCACTCCCATCATTACTGGGTCGGCAGCAATGACTACAGTACACATCAGCCCCAATATATAGTAAAACACAAAGAAAAGAAAAAGTTACCTGCGCTCGCTCCTTAATCCCTATGTATTTTTAGACAAATGATAAGGCTTGCTTTTCATCCACTCACTGGAAAATCGGAAAAAAATAATACAGTTCTTCATGCATTGCTTTCTTCCAAACCTTTTGCTCCTTTTGAACATATAAAATCTATATGTAGTGATATTTTACAAATTATCACTGCGAAGAAATCCCTTATTTATTAAACACCAGCTGGATGAATCTCTTTATCCCTTTACATAAGAGAGTGGATGAATTAACATTAAAGTGGGAATTATTGAATGAGGTTGGGTTTTTAAAGTCTGTTAAAGGCTTCCAGGACCAAAATATTATTTTCAATCTAAGTTGAATGAGGTGTTTATGAATTAAATTTAAAGTTCATGTTCCATTTTCGCAAGCTTATTCTTGTTTATTGTGAAACGACTAAGACATTCTCTTTCATTTTGACAGAATCGAAGCTCTCCCTCTCAGGCTGTCCTGCCTTTAGCAGGTTTTATCCACTATCTATCTTAGACGTGACAGCAAGAGTCACTTTCCATCCCTTTTAATTCCTTTTTCAAACTGCACATCAGTCTCCCGTGCCTCCATAAGGTTCCAAATAAGTTTCTAATTAATTCACTTTCAAGGCCACGCACTATGATCCCCTGCACCTCGGTTTCATTTTGTATTTTTCTCTTTTTCCTCCTTCTGTATAACATCATTTGGAGCTAGCATTTATTTCAAAGACACGCACTATAACGTTCCATGTTTCAAGTATCGATATTTCTAAATTTTATCATTTCTGCTACTATAGAAAATGTGTGACCCACAAAATGTATTTCAGTAGATCTTGGCTATAGCGCTACCTACAAACATTTGTGCTTATTGCATCCTTTAATAACCACGAGGGCACGCTTGGCAGTTTGCTGTTTCCTTTGTCTGATTTTTATTTGTTGTTGTTTCACTTCTTTTATTTACGTGTATTGTTTTCCCTCCGAGGTGAAAGAAAAATAATTTTGAAGCTTCTAGTTATTAGGGACACTGGTATGAGAGATATACCGATAATATTTAGGGTTTGTTTGTTTTTAAAAATTGAAATATGTGATGTTACAATTGGAACTAAAACACACAAATACAGCCATCTGAAAATATGGGAATCTAAAATGAAATCAAAGTTAATTTTACATTTCAGGCCACAATAGTTGATTGAAAATGTAGCTTACATATTAATATATCATTATTATTATTATGTTATTATTATTATTAGAAGGTTACTTTAAATGAATAACAATTCATACTTTAATAAATTAAAAAAAAATAACTCGTACATTCTTAATAATTTACATATGAACACCTATTTATTTAGAGACACTTAAACATCAAGATTAGCAGGGCTATGGACTAATGTAAAATTCAAAGTGAGTTCAAAGTGAATTTCAAATTGAAGGTCAAAATGTCTGAACGGCAATAATTCTCTATATCAACTATGCTTTGACTTTGGCTTCTCTGGCTATAAATATATAAATAAATACATTTGGAATTCACTTTAAAGTCTTACTTTAATAGATAGTCCTGTGAGTAAAAGTATCTGCGTTAGCTGGAAGAAATCATAGCAGAATCCGAAAAGGTATGTGACCAAAAAGAGAGAAAAAAGATTAGGTATCAAAATTTAGGGTAGGAGAATTTTATAAATATTTATGGAAGGAGATAACAGGAAAAATTCTAGGAAATTCTCTGAATTTAAATATGTAAAATATATGTAGGGATCAATATTCACATGTTAATATTATTTGATGCTATATGAATGCAGTTTTAGATGTAGCAGACATGACAATATATTCTTATAAAAAAGTAAAACACGTGCAAGTCTGTTCACTAATGTCCTCTCACACACAATCCATGTCTCCCACCCTTCCCCAAGCACTTTTCTATTGCCTTCATTTACCATACTCTCTTTTTCACTCTCACTCTCTTCTTTGTTGCCTGTCTCTTTCACTCACTCACAAGCATTCACAAAACAAAAGAAGCTGTTTATGTGATTAGCCACTTTCTCTATTTTCTATTGGATGGCTTGACATGTGTAATCAGCCAATCGACACGAAGCATGATACATTTATAATATCAACATTCCTTTTCAGAGAAGCACATTATGAATGTTATAAACAGTAAATAAGGCAGTGCTGTTATATAGGTCTCCGCTGGGAATTATACGCCTTAAATAAATTAAACAAATACTCTTATCATTACTATGCTTAGTCAACTGTAAATTAGTATAATCTGTAGCCATTAAGGATATTTCAAAGTAGCCAAGGTTTAATGGCCCTTCACAACACATAGTAAAAAGGCATTTGTTTGACTTTATAGCAATACATTGAATTGTCTTCAATTCTTTTAATACTGACATCTGATCTTCACCAAAAATCCTATAATATATAGCCTCTGCTTCAAGAACTTGTCGGAGCAAAGGTTTCGATATCTAATTTTTTTGCTAGGACTAGGG